GAGAGCTATGCCAGATATTATAGATAAGAGTAAGAGTTACTCTGTGAGCTACTCAGCTATAATAGAAAAGGTGATGTTAGACTACTGTCCTGCACTCAATTTTATTTTCCCGAAACAGGAAGAAAATAGAGCTACAGAAACAAGAGAAGGCCACTGAGAAAATGTGGGAAGTGCTAGAAATGGAGATCTTTCCAGGCAGGCTGAATACACGTCCAAGACAGAAGGAAACTGAAAGAGGGGATGTATTTTATAATTGGTCTTGATTTCCTGATATAGTTGGAATAACTTAGATTTAAATTTAAATATGAATATAAGATGATATTTAGAGGCCAACCAAATAGTATGTATGTATATATAAAGAATATAAAGTTGTTTTTTGCATTGAAAAATGAATAGACCAGATGCATGTATACTTAATATGAATAGATTGGATGATTGTATATTCTGTGTTCTCCTGTCTTCAAAACCTTTTTCCCGTCTCTTACACTTTTACCTTTTGTATTCCCTACTCTATTCCTAGTAGTTTAAAAAATAAAAAAAAAATTGAAAAAATTTAGTTAACTACTTCTCACCCAAACACAAAGCAATTAACAGGGCTGTTTTTTTGACAGTGTGGTGTTTTCCAACAGAAATATTTCCCTTTTGAAATAATAAAAAAGGGAGGGTTTGGAGTTAGTAAAGATTGTCGCTGGAAATCAAGGTCAAAATCATTCATGCTATGTAAAAGAAAGACAATGAAGAAAGATAGGAGAAAAAAGTCATTTGAAATGTAGTGTTGGAAAGGAGTTATACAGATACCACAGGAAGGCAGAAAAGTCAAGTCAAGCTTGAGCTCTCACTAGAGGCCACAGGAAGGCAGAAAAGTGGATGCTTAGTCAAGTCAAGCTTGAGCTCTCACTAGAGCGAAAATGAGTCTACTGAGGCTAGCCTACCATGCACATATAATGAGAATACAGAATTAATCTGAAAATACAATATGGCTGGGAATTGGAGGGTGGGGCAATACAAAGACAGAAAGACCAATGTAAGATAGATGGTTTCAATAAGGGAAGCCACAGCTGTTAATTTTCAAGACCTGAGCAGAACTTTCTGGAAAGGACAGTATTGCTAAAGAAGGGGAGAGCAATAGGAAGAGAGAACAACCTGAGATGCTGTTCATTTGTAAGACTTGATCAAAGCTGTCAGTGATATGACATTTTGGAGGTCATTAACTCATAATCACCCACTCATCAGAAGTGACTTGATGGCACATAGCATCTTTTGAGGTTTTTCTTAATTATTAAAGAATTCTATAGTGACAATTTGGGTGGAATGGTTGAGATGATGACAGGATAGAGGCACCAAAGCTCTGCTAACATGGAGTAAGACTATCCCTAGCCACAAAGCAAAAAAAAAATAGTAAGTTCCCAGCTTAAAGTAGTAAGCATCTGAATTTTTGTTCTGTATTTATTTTAAATGCCTTTTAAAATATTTTTACAGCCAGATACAAAATATCTTTGTAAGCACAAATTCCTTTTTGGCAAAGAAAGGGTTAAACATTCATTGGATCCAGGTTGACATGTTCAAAAGTTAAATTTGCTCCAGACCTGGAGCTGATCCCTCCTTTGAAAACTTGTGTCAGGAGCCTGGTCTCAGAAATCACAAGAGAGGATCTTCATTGAAAGTGCTCAGGGCTGGGACAAACACAATTGTTCTGTGCTTTTGTAATACAGAAATAATTTGAATATGCCTTACAAAATTGTATGCTAATTTCCTGGAGATACATGGCAAAATCTCCCTCTTTCTGTAGGATTGTCACTCTATTATTTTCTTTAAAGTGAACTCTTTTTTTTACCCCATCTGTAATAGCTGTGGATTTTTGTTCACTCGTAATTTTCCCTCACATTGTAGCATCCACCTGGCAAGTTTGTAACAGATATGCTCAGTTTAAAGCCAAGTCACTGTTTTTCCCATTTGAAAAACCTCTTTTGAGGACCAATATTACAGTTCCTGTAGCTTCGATTCTTTCCAAATTAAAAAAGGTGGGGCTAACCAGTCTCTTTGAAGATAAGCAAGATTGTTTTTTTCAGTTTATATGAGCTGTTTTAAATCTGGGGATGTTTATAAAGTTGCCTATTTCTGAACGGAAACTTAAAAGTTTTATTTTTTTAAAAATCAAGATTTGAAAACCCTCTGCCCAAACTTCCCCAAATTTGGTACAGAACAAGAACAGACTATCTGCTACATATATTCACAAATTTGGTGCTCATCACTCCAGTTTCAAAGTTATATTTTTTGGCTGCCCCTCTTTTTAGAATTGCCTTGTAGGATGTTGATTTGCTCTGCTGCACGATATCATAGGTGTAGTATTATGCAGCTATAATTCCATTAAAGTCTGTGTAAACTTCAGAGCATGTGTTCTTGATGGCATGTATTTTTGTTTTGTTAAAGAAATCTAATGGGTAGCTAATCTGCTCACATTCCACCATTATAAATATGAAGGTGGTTGGGAAGTGTATTTGTGAAATCAGTAGTACCCCTCTGTATTTGCAGGATCATTATTTGCTAATTCACTTATACATGGTCTGAAAATAATAAAAATATTAGAAGAAAATTTCCAAGAAATACGTATTTCTGACAATGAAATTACCAGAACTGGCCACTAGAGGGAGCTAGGGACCATAATATGTATAGCGTTTGCTAGAGCAGGGGTCCCCAACCCCTGGTCTGCGGCCAGGTGCCAGTCCGTGGCTTGGGCCAGACCAGGTCGCGGAGACATCTCCTGCCCGCTGCACAGCTCCTTCACACATACGTGTGACTATGCGCGCAAGAGCACCCCCTTTGCAAGTACCTCCTGAGCGTCCCCGCCCTTCACTCATGCACGAGTGCACATGCGTGCCCCTGCTGCTTTGTGTGTGTGCAAGCACAGGGGGTGCCCCACCTTTGCTAACCAGTCAGTGGAGTTAAAAAGGTTGGGGACCACTGTGATATAGAAAAATATTTCTACGATGTCATTACCAGAACTGGCCACTAGAGGGAGCCAGAGAACATGCTATGTACAGTATAGCATTTGCTATTTATAATAGTGCTTGCTATAATCAGTGTTTTTCATCGTTTGTGAGGGGGCTTGGAACCAATCCCCATGGATACAAGGATCCTGCTGCAATAAATATCTCACCATTCTCCAGAAGGAATGCGAGTGTATATGAAAAATGGTTTTACCTTTGTAATTTATTAAACCAGATGGTAGAATCCAATATATTATATACCGGTGGAAGATGATTTATTTTTAAAATCTGCTTTACCATCCCAAGCAGTTCAGCATTATCACAGAAGACCTGGGAAATAATATTTTAAATCAAGAATCTTGGATTGTTGGTTTTTCAGTCTCGTTGCATCTCACTCCTGAGTACATTTTGTTTTCAGAACTCTCCAGATAGCTATGAAATCTAGAGACCATGTTTAATAAATGAGAAGTAGAAGGCAGACTTGGAATAAGATTCTTCAACTGTACTACTTGGCAGGCTATACTTTCCCCACACATGGTGAGATAGTAGATTTGGTCCGTTGCACACATGCTGTATGTACAGTGGTGCCCCGCATAGTGACAATCCGTGCAGCCAAAATCGTCGCTATACGGATTCGTCGCTATGCGAAATAAAAAAGCCCAAAGGAATGCATTAAAACCCGTTTAATGCGTTCCTATGGGCAAAAAATTACCTTTATGCAAAAATCCTCCGTACGGACGCCATTTTCTCTGCCCGGTAAGCGAGGAATGGGCATGAAAACACAGCAGGCGGCAATTTCTTTTTACCCGGTGGCCATTTTGGAAGCACCGATCAGCTGTTGGGAAAACATCGTTATGCAAAAATCGGTAAGTGAAACAGCTTAACGATCATCGCAAAGCGATATTTTCCCATTAGAAATATTGTTATGTGATCGCAAAAACGATCGCAAAAAAAGTCGCTATGCAGATTCGTCGTTAAACGAGGTGCCCATTAAGCGAGGCACCACTGTATAAAGATGCAAATTGTCAGCGTAGGGTTCCCTCCCCAACTTCAGAGCAGAAATTAGTAACTGTGGCCCTCCACCTATTAATGGTTAACAGTCCCATCAGTTCTATCCAACATAGCTAATGGGGAGGGATTACAGAAGCTGCACTTCAAAAACTTCTGGAAGGCCACAGTTACCCACCCTCCTATAGAAACTTATAAAAAGCTTCAAAATAAGTAAATGGTATGAGAGAAGGATTAGAGACAACATTGGAATAGGCACTATGTTTTCTCATTCATCTGTTGATGAATTCCTCTTTCTCATGCTTCTCTTTGTGTGATACTAATACGCCCTTAGAGAAATGGCAGTCCTGTTCATGATGATTTCTCATGGGGACACCAAGGAAAGCAAAAGAGATTTTGTGTTTCTTTTTGCTTTGGCTTGTCTTGAAGTGGGATGGTTCTGCTTGCTTAAAATGCACTGATTTAAGCCATAGACATGTTCCAATCATTTAGGGTCTCTCTGTCCCTGCCTGCCAACTTCAGTTTCTGGGGAAGGAAGGAAATAGGCTGGCCATGTATTTTTATCCCTGCCCTGTATCGTATCATATCATGTGGACTTACTAGGGGAGTGAAACTGGTAAAACCACTCGTCCCTGCCCCGTATCGTATCACATCATGTGGACTTACTGGGGGAGTGAAGCTGGTAAAACCTTAAATATGTCACTTACCTTGAAAGGTACCTGTTAGGGTTGCTACGTATAAGTTGGTTCCAAGTTGATAGCACAAAAACACATAGTGTAGCATATGACAAAAAACCTGACATTCTGAATTTCTGTATGTCATAAATAGAATAAAAAAGTTAATAGAAATAAGGTGGATAGACAGAAATGAGGAACCCCAAAACCCGTGAGTAAATGTCTCTGTTTATGAATGTGAACATTTTTTCCAGTATATTTTTCTTCTTCTTCTTCTTTGTGGATATTATTCTCTTGGCTTAAACAATAATGTTACTTATCCTCCTTTCAGACTGATGTTTTCTGGCACCGTTTTCCTGCATCAATGAATTCTCCCTCAAGTAGTAAGTGGACACCTGCAGGAAATGAATCAAGACTCTGAACACAGAAGAAGAAGAAAAAATTAATCACCTGCTCTAAAATAAATAAAGTACTGTTTTAAAAAAAATGATGCATTTCTTTCTATTTGTTTCTAGATGTAAAATTTTAATAGTTTACTGCAGAATTCCTGTAATCATTGAATCATTAGTGGCTAATGTTTGAAACGGCTCTTGCAATCAAGTCTGTGATGTTACTAATAATGCCTTACATAGTATTTGTAGTTAAATAGCATGAGCTATTGCCCTGTAGCCAGAAGGGGTCAGTCTTGCTTTTTGTTCTCCTTAAAAAATGAACTTGGAATATGTCTCTTAGTGTAAGATATGTAATAATGCTGGCCATTGTGAAAGGGTTGTTCTTGGAACATTAGAAACTTGTTTTGACTGTATTTCCGCACATATGTATCTGTTGTTAAAATAAAATGAAAACAACCTGGAAGAAAAAGCCTACATGCACAATATGGATGTTTTTATGAAACAGTGATGAAAGATTATTGCTGAGAAGGTGGTACAAGTATTGCATTTTTGTAATATGTATTCAACATTTCTTACTGTCGTCTTGCGCTTTTTTGGGATAGGGACTCTTGTAGTCTGTCTTGGATGTCATCAAATTAAAACAGTTTGATGATGCCAGATATAGAACCAGAAAGCAATTCACCATATTTGTTGATTTTGGAATTTTGAGTTTTTCCCTAATATAGCTGTGCTTCCTGGCTTTTCTAATTTCTGGTGCATTTAAATATTGAATGATGTGCACTTTTGATTTCTGCAAAGCAGTAATTCAAAGTTTTATTATGTTAAAACTGTAAATATAAGCAGAATATTAATAAATGTCACTTATATTAGTAGGGCTTTCTTTTTGCTATATATCAGTGCTGATCAGGGGATTAATTTGTTGCTTGTCTGTCTGAAAAACAGCTGTAATTCATAGTTACAGAATACCAAAAACATAATGGTAGGAGCTAAATAATCTTTGGTGTATTTCAAATTAATTTACTTCTTTTTTATTAACTAAGTGGTGCTGGCAATAGACCTTTTTTTAAAAAAAATCTGGGGTTTTATCAGTTATAAAACTCACTAACGTTATTGCTGTATTGTCTTAAACCAGTGGTTTCCAACCTTAGATACCCAGATGTTCTTGGACTAAAACTTCCAGAAGCCTTCACCACTAGCTGTGCTGGCCAGGATTTTCCTGTTCTCCAAGGAAGCTGACAGGAAACACAATGAGCAACATACTATTTGCCACAACTTTCCTTTGTTTCTTATCTTAGGACTTTGTAATTCCTTCTACTTCCAGTGTCTCGACTATGAACACCATTATGTATATGGGCGCCAGCATCATCAATGCCCAAGAAGGAGGTACCAACCCTTAAGGGAGACTTTTAAGATTTACAAAGTATGAATTTTGTATTTTGGGGGGGTGGGGTCAGAAACCCCCAAACATTATAAAACAGTGACTATACACCCAACCCTCCACACCTTTGATGTCTTGGGATTTATGTGGAATGGAAAATCTAGAGTGAGGATGCCACTTCATGTTGGGTGCCTGAACAGGACTGCTGCAGGTTGTAACATTTTGCTCCAGGTCATTTCCGTGGCATGCACACATTCACTGTACCAGGCCATTGTAGGAAATGAGGGGTCTGTGCATGTCTTGCAACTGGCATGCTGAATGCCCTGCACACAGATAGACAGAATAAATGAGGCACGTGAAGAACCATATCAAGCCCATTGGTATTCTTTTTTAAAGTATGTAGGTTTATAAAGATTACATTCTACAATCCTATCTGCAAAGCCTCCACCGTTTTGTGTTTCCCAGGTTGCATTCAAGTATTTTCGTTGTCTCCAAACTAATCTTCAAATGGGATGTTTCAGCAATTCAGCCCCACGAGATTTCCTCTTGGTGCAAAGTTCTCCATTATGCCCTGAGATAGTGTGTTAAATTTGTACCACACCTATAGATTTAACATCTCCTTCCTGATTATAAAGATACAAGAAACATTTGGAAGTTCTTTTTTTTAATGGTGTGATATAAGTTCACCTCTTGGTCAATAGTAGTGGCATTCCCTCTTTCAGTGTTTTTGATCTTATTTGCTGTTACCAGTTGCTGGGGCAAGAAAAATAACCGGTTTTAATCTCTACAAGAAGTTGTGTTATTTTAATCAAATAGACTATTTTGGACATGATGCCTTCCTCTAAAACACTAGGGGGTAAATGCTGAGCCTGTAAACATTGGGGCAACATTCTATCAATTCTATTATAATCATTTTTTTCTGTCTGTAATCCTCTGGGATATGAGATTATGGGCAAAAATGTACAGAATAATTTCCCAAGCATCCTTCCCTCCCTGGCTTGTAAACAAATATGGGAATGGACAGTTTCCATCTTTTGACAGAGATGCTAGTTTTTCCAAAGATGTCAGATGACCTTGTTCCTCACGTCATTTCCTGAGGTACCTGGAAATAGTGGTATTTGACTTTCTTGCTGAGGGACTTTTGAGGAGACAGCCTTTTTCAATTTGCTAAGAGGTATGCTTTGTTTCCAACTTTGTTTCTGAAGTTTCAAATGCTACGAATATTTTCTTGACTGGGGATGCCATAAGTACTCTGCTAATTTTTTAATGCTGCTTAAGAAAATTTTTGATATACTCAGATCCCTGTTGTGAGAGTAAGTAGACCAGTCAAGTTTTAAGAGACCTCAGAAATGGTAACTACACAATGGGATTTTGGTCAACAACAACAACAAAATATAACCAAGATGTAATGCAGGCAAAACCAGGATGCAAAGTTCATTTTTTTCCGACAGTTGGCTATATCTTACGAATTACTCTCAACTTTTCCTCTGTATTATAAAATTCCAGCCATCAGCAGTCTGAGAAAACAAAACAGCAATACTATATTGGGACAAGCAAGTTATCACAAATAAAACATTTGATTTTAATAAGCTGGATATTATAATTCTAGATCAGCAATAAAGAAAAGCATGTTTTACAGAAGTTGTTCCATCAGAGGTAACCTCAGAAATATGGAAAATAAAAAACCTGCACATTACCAGATATTAAGGCAAAAATTTAAGGGAACAAGGAAGCAAGACCAGGTCATCCTTCCCATACTAATTTCCAGAGTCTTTGGCTACCAATTTAAAACAATTGCCAGTAGCTGTCAAATTCAAAATCACTAATTTTGTAAACATGGTGCCTCACCTGTGTATTTTAAATAAATTGTGTGCAAGATGCAACAAAACTATTTGCTTTTTTTGCATTGTAACCATTAAGGTTTGATTTCAGTGCAAATGTGAATAATATTATTTGGCGTTTTTGAGCGCTGGTGCCAGTAGTGGAGTAAAACCCATTCATATACAATGGAACAGAGAGAGGTCTCAGCCACTGCAGATCTGGGCTTCTTCATGTGTTCGTCACTTGTTCTGCTAGAGCCTTCAATTGAAGCACATGACTTCTTTTCCCAGCCCAGTCTTGGGTCATTGCCATTGAGGCCCGAAGGAGAAATTGGCCATGGGATGGCAAGGGCACAAGAGACAGGGAGGGAAGACATCCAAGCTAGTTTGTGATGCTATTTGTATTATTTTGGATTTTCCCCCCCTCTGGTGCTCTTTCCAGAATCCTTGAGTTGCTTTGCGAAGGGAAATCTTGCATGCTACTTTGCAGACTGGAAAGGAGAGGTTAATATGTAGAAACTACAGTATTTTGACAATATGTGCAGTTTTTACAGACTTACAACTTGGGGATTCTTGGCATCTACATCCCTACTGTCGTAAAAAGAATTATTTTGGTCCAAGTTTTTAATAAACCAAATAAATCATGTGTCTCATTTAAGCAAATAATGGAGAGGTTCGGAACAGAAAATATTCTGTTCTGATTGATTTGGTATCTGGTTTTACTTTGTTGGCAGGGGGAACAGCAGAGTGGTAGAGCACAATACTGGTTTCAGTCTTGGGCATCGATAGTGAGGCTGGGAAAGGATCCTTCCTGAAACCCTAAAGAGCTGCTGCCAATCCATGTAGATAAAACTGAGTTGTATGATCTGGCTTGGAATAAGGCTGCTTTCTATGTTTCTATGGGCTTTTTTCCATTTAAAAAGGACAAGGAATTATTTTGTCCTGTTGGGGACCAGATTGCCACCTGGGGCCCTTTTT